TCATGAAAGTAGGCTTTTAAAGAAATTCATGGTTCATGAAAGTAGACTTTTGAAGAAATTCATGGGTCATGGAATTCATTCTGGTGACTTTCAGGGGAATTTAATGGGTCATGAAAGTAGATTCAAAAGAAATTCATGGGTCATGAAAAAAATGTCCCTAAGTCATGCAAAATTCAGGGCTTAAAATAACCTCATGAATTTTCATTTTGCGGTATTCATGGGCCATGAAATTCATGGAATTTTCATAAAACTATAGTTCATAGTGATAAACAGCTCCCAGGTATCAGAATCTCGGTCAAATTCCTCTATTTTACCATAGGTAGACATTTCATCATCCTCTTCGCCAAAAAAATGCAGTATATTCAACCCGAAACCACAGTAAACAGCACCGATTTGATTCGCCAGGCCAAATGGCTAATTTTTTATTCCATGTCCATCCAGAAGACCTTGCAGTCCTAATGGCCTAGGTGGCCCATGCTATATACATTACAATCTCAACATCACAAAAAGCTTACTACATATATTATTTGTTCATCACTCCCTTGCACGTCTTTTTCAATCCCAAGAACTTCTTGTTCTCAGTCCTATATGCTATTACGTCACTTAGAAACTATTTCAAAATGTTTGTTATGCTAATAAAAACCAACTGTCACGGAAAGGTAAGCAAATCTAAAACATTCTTAAAACCCTCTACTTTTGACAACAACTAGTGAGCCAACAATAATTTTCAGCATCTTTCCCCATTGTGAAATCATATTCCTTTCATCAAAGCTCAGTCAAAGCAAATACTAAATTCAGTGGCGTTCTTGCTTGAAAATCGTCGCTTTTCTTTATTTTAAATGATAGTAATGGTTCTGTTTCTTTCGATCAGGGGACCATGAATGATTGTTATAGTGTTGAGGAGAAATATTGGATATATTGCGCTCTGTGCGATGAAGAAGTAGAGCCACGTGCAACCGAGGAAGAGGCCGTCGCTTTTGAGGAAAACATTTAAATGTGGCTAGCAAAGAAATGAGGGAGCTAGAGCATCCAAAGTGGCTTACCGGTGACGCAGAAGTTCATAATGCAAATTTTAACACATATCACTTTAGTTAAGCTTTTGTAGCAGGATGAAAATATCCCTTGAAAGGCTATATTTTTTTTTAAGGTGTCTTTAAGCAGTACTCTTCCAGCCAGTTTACCCTTGTACTTATTTTGCTGGAAGTTCAAATATTTTCCCTGTGTCATGCAATGCTATTAGGCCATGGAGAGTACAAAACCTGGACCCCGGGTCCATGGGCCCCTTTTGGTGGACTCCATATACAAATGTATTTTTTGTTTTGCAAGTTTCTTTTTTGGTTTGCAAGTACTTACTACAATTTGGATCATACTGGCTACATCCGCTCCGGTAAAACCAAATACTGTCTTTCCCACAGCTAAGACAATGCATGATTTTCATGCCAGAAGCTCGAGTTATTTCATTCACATGCTACTCTATAGGTGGTTTGCTACCAATCTCCAGAGAAACAGGTAATAATGGTGAAAGGAACAAATGCAGGTGGATGAATAAAACGAACTAATGAGATATCTATTGCTTCAAATATCTTGCAAAACAAAAATAAGATAATTTTTGTTTTGCAAGATATTTTTTGCTTCACAAGTACTTTATGACCTTCAGAGCATGCTTATGGATCGCCAACACTGTCTTGTCAACTTCTTTCATTATATGCGGTGTATTTTACATCATATGCGGTGTATATTACATCATATGCAGTGTATATTACATCATATTCAGAGCATTTCATATTATATGCAGTGGTTTTG